AAGCTGTGCAGATTTGGATTTTCCAGATTAGGAGACCTCCCACCAGGTCTATTATCCCTAGAAGACACTTCCCCCGATATTGAAGACATCTCCTTCCTCTTACAGTGATCACAATTGAAAAACTCAGTGCAAAGAGCACAATTTCAGACTTACCGAAGCTGTTGCAGGCCTGAGAACCCCTTGTAACAGAACTGAAACCAAGAACACTCCACTTCTGTACAGTGCAGAACTCTTCTGGACTGGGCTGGACTTTGATTTCTGTTGTAGTAGACTGTGACCAACTGTACGAACCGAACTAGGACTGTCGAAGTCTGCCCTTCCACCTAGATCTGTTCCACACAGATCTCTTAGCAGCCGAATGGCTACTACCTGCTGTAAGGTGTCTAGTAGGGCATCGATCTCTGGAACAAACTCCCCTTGGGCCCTACAACCAAGGGAAACCCTAGATACAGACCTTGCTGTGCTCTACGGTCAGCCCTAGGGTTTCTTCACAGCGACCAAGACAGAAGAGAGAAAGGAAAAGAAAAAAAAAAAGAGAAGGGCCAAAAGGTGATGGCTGTAATCAGACAAACAAACCTTGCTCTGATACCATGTTTGCTGGATTACAGCAGTCGAAGAAGAGGGAGAAGAAGATCTGAGAGAGGCGGCATTAACTCTTCAGCCGACCCAACAAGTTTATATAGATGATTATAAAATAATATTACATGAATGGACTAGAATGCCCCTGATTAGTGATGGGACACCTAGACAAATAAACAATTAAAACATTAAACAGGTTTAGGCCCAATAACTAAGGCCCAATAACTAAGAACATAAGACACAAATAAGACCAACTTAAACACTAATAAGAGCCGAACCAACAACTGCCACACTGCACTCCTTTTTCTCATGCCAATTACCCCTGCTGCTGGATACCATCTTCCCAACCGAAGATCAAACTTTGTGGAAATCGATTTCTCAGACTCCAATACCTAGTCTGTCACTTCCATACTGTGAACATGAATGAAGAAGCCCGCCACATAGACTTCTCACTCCCATTATGGCATTATCTTTTCTTTTCCCCATTACATGACCATCCAAACTTCAATATTTTCTACATCCAACCTGCATCCTACGATTCTTCCAACTAAGCTTGCCTGAAGAACTTTCATTCTCTCCTCCATCTTCTCCATCTTCCCAACATCCACCTTCTAATTCTTGGAGATTTTATTGTTGATGACAATGCAACTACCTGAATCATGATTTTTTTTTTCTTACTTAGTTTTAGGATTAAGGGTAGATGTTTTAATTATTAGATTAAGTTTCAAGGTAATTAATATTGATTAGACCTGAATTTGTCTTTCTCACAATTTTCATTACTTTTAAAGTCATAGCCATCCCTTTATTTATTGCGCTCTCACTAAAATAGAAATATTTTTATTTAATGGATGCTTAAGGTGGCCTCTTTGTTGATCATTAATGTCACATCTTGTAGGTGAGGCCATCTATGTGGATGATATTCCTTCTCCAAAGGACTGCCTTCATGGAGCATTCATATACAGTACCAGGCCTTTGGCACGAATAAAGGATATTCAATTCAAATCTCCACCCGAATTGTATGGAGTTGTTAGAGTTATTTCCATTGATGATATCCCAGAAAGAGGGGAGAACTTAGGATCTAAGACCATGTTTGGTACTGAACACCTTTTGGGTACCCTAAACTGTTAGGGTACCCTTTAACTTGTGGAATGAATCGACCATGGAAAAAATCATGAAAACCTTGCGTGGAGCCTTGCTGGAGGTAAATCAAAGGAGTTTGCGTGCTGTAGAACTCAGAGTGGCAGGGATAAAACCAGAAAACCTGCCTCGATCGATCGAAGTTTTCTCATAGGGCGCCCTAGTATTGAGTTTGGCTGGCCTCAAAGCTAAAGCATCGCTTTGAGGAAGATGAGCGGAGGTTGGAGGTGATGGTGAGGTGGTAGGCTAGAGCACACGTGGCTCCCAGGGAGTGAAGGATAGGTTTGCCATGCGTGGTAGAGTTAAGGAAGAAATGGAACAGTTGCAGGGGTAAAGCAGGCTCAAAATCTTCCATTGAGGCAATTAATTCAAATTTTTTTGAAACAAAAATGTAGAGAAGATGGGCCGAATGGCCCATAGACTGTCATTTTATTTTATGTTATGTTATGTTTCTCTCTSTTGTGGGCCTTATTCTGGGCCCATACTCTGTAATAGTCTGTTTTTTGTATTTTCCTGCTCACTCAAGGGCCTCTCTGTAATTTGTAAAAAATTAACTTATTAATAAGATATTTAGAGTGTTAGAGTGTGGTTATATTTGAACCTCTTACTCTCTAACACTCATTGCCGCCAGCTCTCTCTTCTCTTCCTCTCTTGTTTGTTCATTTTCTGGTTTGCATCTAATATCAAACAGTTCCATACATCAAGTGGGCTGTTTTTCAACTTGGTATCAGAGCGGGTCATTGCTTGGCGTGTCCCTCATGTGGTTCTAGTTCAGC